CGTAGCTGCCAATCATCATCATTATGCCTCTTTGTGCCAACAAACATGGATTTGCAATGATAGTGGTTGTGTGTTGTGTGTCTAAAGAGTTGATGTCAGCTCATGGCAACCCCATAGCAAAATTCAACCTCACTGCTGTCAAGTCTGTTCTGACTTACTGCGTTTCTGGGGCTGTAAGAGGTAACAGGAGGAGATTACCCTTCTTTCTCTCATGCAACCTCTGGTGAGTCAAACTGCCAGATAGGAAGCATCCCTGGATTAGCAGCACCATGTACTGTGCTCCACACCGTCAGAGCTCCCTATTGTTGTGGTTGATAGGGGCCTTCAAGTCCTTTATGACCTAGAGCTCCCTGTGAATGACAGATCTGAAACCTTCCCTATCCTGTGCCATCCTCATCATCTCTGCCACACTTGAGCTCATGGTTAAGTTCATTGTGTCAGTCCATCTCATTAAGTGTCTTCCCCTCCTTTGCTGACCCTTTTGCGTGATGTTCTTTTCCAAGGATTGGCCTTTCCTAATGACATGCCCTATGTATATGAGACCAGGTTGTACCATCCTTCACTCTATGGAGTGCCCTGGCTGCACTCTCTCCAAGACATGCTTGTTTGTTCTCTCAGCACTTCAAGGGTTAATTTAGTACCATTCTCCAGCATCACAACTCCAAAGCATTAGTACTTGCTCTATCATCATTACTCATTGTCCTACTCTTAGATGCATAGGAAGTGATTGAAAAGACCGTGGCTGGGATCAGGTGCACCTTAGTCTTAAAACTGACATCCTTGCTCTTCAGCACTTTGGAAAGGTCCTTAACTATGGACGTTCCCAATGCAATACATCTTTTGATTACCTGACTGCTGGTAGCAAGGTTGTTGATTGTGGATCCAAGTTAGACAAAATCATTGACCGTGTCTATCTCTTCTCCATCTATCATTATATCGCCTACTGGCCTAGTGGTGAAGATTTCTGTTCACCACTAGGGCTTCCTTGGTTGTAGTGTTTATGGAAGCAATGCACCAGGTCTTTTTCTTCCATAAGCCCCTGGCAAGGTCGAACTGCCAGCTTTTAGGTTAACAGCCTAAGGTCTAGAATTATGAGAGGGATGGTTGTTCAATCATTGTGCTTATTTTGTTGTTGTGTATTGTTTATTTGGGACTGACCCATATCTGATCCTCCAGTGAGTTTTTAGAGGCAGTTAATTACACTGGAAAAGATTACCCATCTTTCTTCTGTGGAGCAGCTGGTGGGTTTGAACTGTTGTCTTGTGGGTTGGCAGTGCAACTCCTTGCCAACAGAGGACCTGGTGGGACATTAGTACCTGCAATCCTCTGTTTTTATTAGGACAATGGGGATGGCTTTTTTAGTTTTTAAATGGTATCTTTGCATTTGTGAGATGCATAAAGATTTCTGATTTCTCCTCCTAAATGAAAGCTGTCCGCCGACTTTTCTGAGTATCGCCACAGAAACCTGAATGTGCAGAGCTCCCAAGGGGGTGCTGAAAATGATGAAACCAAAGGCATCATCACACGGCTCCTCTGCCACTGTGCCAACTGTCCATCAGCACTGAGGCAGAGAGCTCTTCCAGATGTTCTCAAGATGCTAAGAACAATGTTGACAGGAGACTGTCATGGAAACACATGAAGCCTGTGTGTTTGAGTGTGTGTGCATGTGTGAGAGAGAGAGAGAGAGAGAAAGAGAAAGAAAGGAGAGAGAAAGAGAGAGAGAGAGGGAAGCAGGGAAGAGCGAGAGAGCGGGCGAGCCCAAAAAAGAGAGGGTGTGCACAAACATCCATCACTGCACTGACCTGGAGGAGTGAGAAATAGCATTGCTTCTGCAGGTCTGAACACAAGCAGAACCCTGCTTCTTACTAAACTCGACGATTAACAGGAAAAGGCAATTGCCTGGAGGCAGAAATTACCCCCAAGGAGACGAGGCAGCAAAATCTAAAGATCTGGGCAAGAAGCGCTCTTGTTTGTCTCCGGTATGATCCTGTGAGAGCTGCAGCTAAGAGACTGGAGGCTGGGGCAGCTGCTGGTTTCCCTGGTTTCAGCTCCTACGTCCCACGGTTGCTGGGCACCGTTGCAGCCTGCCTCTCGGGCCCAGCCCTCAACAAAGAGAAGCTAATTAACAAATACTGCCGTTTGCTCCACAGTTAGCTGAGGTCACAGGCCTGTCCTGAATGAGGAAGGCTGTCTGAATATTAAACCTCCACGTCTTTACAATGTTGGTCAGAATTTGATTTAATTAGAATACATTCAATTCCCCTCAATAAGCAATGAGATTGGTATCATTTGCCCTGTTGATAGTACAGTCTTGGAGGAAATGAAGAATTTACTCAGAGTTATGACTTCCTTGCCAAAGTCGAGAGTCCACATGGATCATTCTGATTTTATAAAGTCTTTCCTTTACCCACCAGGCTTTGATCCACAGACTACTAACTTCCCATGGGTTCACCATTTTATTCCAGAGGGTAGATCTACAATGACTCAGGGAAAGGTTGTATTTTATTTCTGTTCATTTCTAATGTCGAGGCTTTGTGCAGTTTATTCCAGTTTTTGTCACCTGCATTCCTAATTTCTGAAATGGAGAATCCGGCAGTATAGTCCACAGGGAGTTGCACCACTAACCCAAAGGCCATGCTTCCCTGGTGGTTCAGATGCATCAGTGATGCCACTGACGAAAGGTGGGCTGTCCCTGCCTTTGCACTGTGCATCCTTGGAAGCCCAGGAGAGGGCAGCAGCGAATTGGTTCTGAGGGCGATGAGTTGCGTTGTTGAGTATTAATGATGGAAGAACTGATGGCACAAATTGTATTCTCTGCTACTAGCCTGAAGGTTTGGAAGTTTGATCCTACCCCGGGGCTCCCTGGAAACAAAACCTGGCAATCTGTTTCAATGAAAGTTACAGTCAAAAAAATAACCCTACGGAGGTGGACCTGCAGTTAGCCTTTGTATGACAGGGCTTTTTTGTGACTTTTTAAAGGTAATGTAGAATACTGAATGTACTGAATATCCTATGGATTGCTGAAAAACAAAAACAAACAAACAAAAAAACCCAACCTACAGAGAGATATGTTTTGGAGAAAGTGAAGCCAGATTGCTCCTCGAAGGCTAGGATTTTGAAGCTCCATCTCACATATTTGGGCACATGGCCAGGAGGGGACCAGTTCCTAGAGAAGGACATCATGCTTGGAAGGTTGGAGGGACAGTGCAGGAGAGGAAGACCCCAGATGAGATGGAGTGACACAGTAACTAGGGCACTGGGGGTAGTTGTGTTGGAATCAGTGAGACTCGGTCAGGGTAGGACAGAGTTCGGAGATATGGTGCCATAGGGCCACTATGACTTATGCCAGCTGGGTGGCACATAACAACATTGCAGAAAATGTGGATGATCAGACATTGTGGGTATTGTAACTAATGTTGGAAAGCAAAATGCATAGTTATGATTGATTGATGGGCAGGTAGGATTACAGGGGTGTGAAACGTGAAGGTGATGGATATGGCCACTGCTTTCACTAAGATCTTGGATTCATAAGTGTATTTAAATTGTATAATTTCTCTAATGTTGCTGTCGTGTGTATCACCAAGACGGAACTGATGTATAACTGACCCTCCACCCAGGAGGAGATTGCCCATCTAAATATCGCCCTCTGAGTAGCTACTGGATTCAAACGGCATAGCTTTGAGTTGGCAGCGCAATTCGTTACCATTAAGCCACCAGAGCTCTCTATCTTTCTCAAATGGTATCCTTCAAGTATGTTCTGTCTATTGTATCTCAATGATACCTCAATTATGCTGCTAAAAAACCAGAATTTTAAAAACCTCTTAAGATAATGTGAAACTAAAAATATGCAGACCCACAACCCTTCCATCCCATCATTTTCAGCTGTTGGTTGATTTGTGTCTTAGAAGAGACCTGTCTTAAAAGGTATCTCCTTGCAGATGCAAATCAAAACCAAAATGAGGTACCATTTCACTCTAGTAAGAGTGGCAAAGTTTAACAGGGCAGCAAGTAACAGATGTTGGCGAAGATGCGGCAAAAAAGGAACTTTGTACATTGTTGGTGGGATTGTAAAATGTTGCAACCATTCTGGAAGGCAGTTTGGTGCTTCCTCAAAAAGCTGAACATAGAAATTCCATATGACCCAGCTATTCCACTACTTGGAATATATTCTGAGAATATGAGAACTGAGGCACAAATAGAGATTTGTACACCAATGTTCAAAGCAGCATTATTCACCATCACAGGAACATGGAAACAACCCAGATGTCCAACCACAAACGAATGGATTGGGAAATTATGGTACTTTCACACAATAGAATTACTATGGAGCATGCAGGAGCAGATAAAAAGTTATTACCTAACTTGGGAGGGACTGGAGAGCATTTTCCTGAGTGAACTAACTCAGTCCTACTAGGATAAATATTGTATAAAACCGTTATTGTAGGAGTGTAAGGATTCAGGTGTGGGAGAGGTTAAAGCAGAGGGATGTGGATGTACAGGAGGAAGAGCAGATTAATCATTGGATTGTACAATTTGTTGGGTGGGGATGGTGAGGGAAATGGAAAGAATTTGTTCGAATTTGTATTAGAATTTTGTAAATAAACTAATATTTTTCAATTTTTATTTTATCTTATTTTATTATTATTTTGTGTACCGTCAAATTAAGTCTGACTGGTACAGGAGGAGATTGCCTCGCCTTCTCCAAGAGGATCTGGTGGATTTGAACCACATACCTCTGCTATTGCAGTGCAGCTTCTTGCCACTAAGACACCAGAGCTCCCTAAATAAACTAATTTTTTAAAAAGGGATCTCCTTGGGAAAGTTGGGAAATGTGAGTTGATGACATCCTACAGAGGAAAGGTAGAAGTGTGCTGGCCACTCTGCGATGACTGACCGCGGAGATGGAGACAGGCCGTGTGAACCTTTCTCTCTGTGTGCACGCACCTTTTATACTTGCACACACATAACCCCTCATGTCTTCTTTGATCCCAGGACCTGTGGCCAAGCCCATCACTGACGCCCCAACGCAGGCTCCCAGCCACCCCTCACCGCTACGATGGCCGAAGACGCGGACATGCGCAATGAGCTGGAAGAGATGCAGAGAAGGGCCGACCAGCTGGCCGATGAGGTAAGAAGGAAGCCAGGGCAGGAAGGTGCGGGGCGCGGAGCTGGGGTGGTTTGTCTTATTCAAGTTAAGGTGAACAGAGGACTTCTACGGTCTTAAAAATAAAAACATAAATAAGCAGAATGTCATTTAAATATACTATACACCCAATACCTTGGGATGTGAAGTAGTTGATTTAGAAATCTGCATATCTATCTATCTATCTATCTATCTATCTATCTATCTATCTATCTATCCATCCATCCATCTATCCATCCACACACTTACATGTTAATTCTTCATCAAAACTCCCAATTTATTTTTTTATGTATAAGTTTATTTATAAGCAATTTTCATGAGGTCCTAAAACAATAATAGCAGTAGATCTTTTATTTGCCAGATATATTACAGGGAAAATAGGTGACAGAGTCAAGTCTGAAAAAGAGTTTAGTTAATAACCACACATCAATTAGCTATAATTAGTACAGAGTGTTTGATAATTTTCTTCTTTAGAAACAAACTTTACTGTCCTATGCTTATCCCACGTCCACCACATTCATCAATGGAGGAATACCCCACCTATGTAGCCAGTCACACTCCTGACCCTCATCCAGTCAGCCCTCAAACGTTCCCTTTCAGCCTGTGCTTACTGTCCTGTTCTGCACCCTTATTTAAGACTCAATCTCATTACTTTCCACCAGGCATCAATTTATAGCTTGCCATCCATTGAAAACTCCCAAGTTCTAGAACTCATAAGACGCCCAAGGACCACTGCGGAAAGCACTGCCTTTGGGTGGCACACTGGGGCTGACTCCAGCTCTGAGAGCCAGCTGTTCATTTTTCATAAGCCTTTATAAATTGGTTGTTAAATGTCAGCACTCCTAAAAATTAAATTATGTCAACTGGCAACTAGAAAACTGTGTTAATAACAAAGAAGAGGAATGCTCAAAATACCATTTTGTAATTGTTTGACTGTGGTCTTTGCTTTTGGAGACTATTTAATGTCTAGTGTTTGCAGGGAGGATGTGGCATGTATCCGTGCATCTTTCCAGCTTCTCGTTCAATGGCATTTTGGTAGTCAGAAATAAGCCATGGAAAGTTTGCTGATGCTGCAAGTCAGGCCTTAAATTGTTGATTGTTAAAATTAAGAAAATGGTATATATATAAAAAAATAATTAAGAACATGGTGGAGAAAATTATAAGGCCTATTAAATGTAAGTGTCTGATTATATTATGAACTGCTCAGAACATTTGAGGAAGTATTCTTCCAGTACTTTGAAAATTACTACTCCGTTTAACAGACATTTACATCATTGAATAAGTGAAGCAGCAGTATAATTCTTCATTGTTGCACTTTGACCTTCGTCTTTAAGATAAACGACAATATCACCCAGCATCCGGGCAGCTACCCTTGCTCATCAAACATTAGGCAAACATCAACATGCCTATTCTGTGAGAACCAGCTGGCTAGATGGACTTTACAATAAACAGGATCATATATTTTATTATTATCTGTAAATTGTGGCAATAATAATCCATTATTGCTGTAAAATAATATACATAAACATTTCTTTCTTGTTCTAGGGAGTCAATTATTATACATTTGGTAACACCATTGCCTACAACTATCTCTTTCAAAAACCAACCTGCTGACAGCTCTTATAAGAGAGTCAGTATTCTTCAGTTTCTTGCAGATTCTTAACCAAATAAGTTTGTCACTTAAAAGCACTGCTTTTTGAAATCACATTGGGTTTGGGATTATAGAGTTTCACAGAAAATGCAAACTACTGTCACAATTGTGCCCCAGGATTAGCATTGTGTTCAGCCTTTCTATCTCATCTTCTTTTATCAGTGGATAAAGATAATTTTAGCTGCTTCCTGTAGGCTAATTATGCCAAAGAGGATTGATTTTTCTCAGCCTAAAGGGACAGTTTAATTTTTACTAATAAGAATTGTCTATTGTGTACCTAGGAGTTTATTAAGAAAGTTGATGTATTCATTCCAATTCATTGAAAAGTTATGTTTAAAAATTCAATGTTCATATCAAATGAGTCCCCTAGGCTATACGATTTTTTTTCTTCATGCATCCTACACATGCAGAATTATCTTTTCATAATTACTTTGTCTTTGCTGACAAAATCCACTTTATAAAACTTTGATCTTATAGAGATAAATTGTAATCTAATTGCTTTAGGAAATCTTATTTCATCGAAAGCCTGATAAAAAAGAGATTTAAAATGAAAAATACTTTCTTTGTCTTAGTTTCAAACGTTAAAAGGATATTTGACAGCAATCTTTTGTGTTTCTCAAGGGAAGAAAGCATTTCTTTGACTTTGTAAGCCTCTCACTCCTGTACTTACAACATTTATGGTATTTTTGTTTTCTTTCAGTCACTGGAAAGCACCCGTCGTATGCTACAACTGGTTGAAGAGGTAAGAAATTACCATATTCAAAGATAAAGAAATTAGCTCTTTATGCTGATGTCTTCTTTTCCTAGACGCCAATGTCCCTCCCCTCACCATATTTCCTCAGATCCTAGTGTTCATTTTGCCTGCCAAGAATTCACCCAGTGGGGTGGGAATGCTGTTTTTAGATTGCTCTCTCTGTCTTCACTTTCTCTTACTGCTCCAGATCAACTTTTAAGTTGAGAAGCAGAGAAAGATAGGATTTCCAAGCAAATAAAGACTGAATTGCGAGGCAAAGCTAAAAGATTTTGAATGTGCCAAGAAATGATACACATGAAACTTCTTTGTAACGATTTTCATACCTCTTACATCACTTCTAATTGTGGCATTCTATTCTGACTTTACCCACACCTAAGTAAGGCCTTGAAAACTATGTATCCATGTAAGAATAAAGGCTGTGCCACCAGTGTACCAAATGGCATAGGGGTTACCCGTGGTGGGAAGATTTTAGTAGACCTCCCAGACCGAGACAGACTAGGAAGAAGGATTGGCCATCCACTTCTGAAATAGCCAGCCTCTGAAAACCTTGTAAGCAAGAGAACACAGTGATAGTAGTAGAGGTAGAGCCCAGGTTGGAAATCTATCGAAATTAGTCATCATCAGGCACCAAAACTCATGAAATAATAAGAAAACTCTGTAAGAAAGTGAAATCACAAATGCAGTCGTGTGACGATAGCTGCCTTTAATCTTCCTGAATCAGGTGGGAACAGGCATTTGCGAGGCATGGTTAATGAATCCCAAACTGTTTTTAAATGAGTAAAATAGGACAGATAACAATAATGGACTCAAAAGGGCGTTTGCAGGAAGCCTCCCTCATTCCAATTCGGTGGAACAGCAGTCAACCAGAGAGAATAAATGGATTAATTGAATTTGCCCACTGGGAGATGAAGTGGAAAAAGACTGGGATGGACTATATTTGTCTTCTCCTAATAGAACAAGCGTGATAGAAGGGTTTTGTTGGTTGTTGTTTTTTGGTTTTGTTTTTTTTTAAAAAAAAAGTGAAATACTATTTTCATTATGCTTTGAAATTGGTGGTTTGTGTGCAAATTTCAGGGTAGTGATCTTTTTCCGAGATCTTAGGCAGTCGCTAACAGATGACTGAATGAGCCTACCAACTTGGTGCTGCTATAAATTGCTTTTGTGGTGCCACAAAAGGGGGAGAAAATAAGTTTTATCAAGACAAAGAGAAGTGGCTGCCTGCTGCCCCATGGGGACCAATGTCTTCCCTTTTTCTGCAGCTTCAGCTTCTCACCAGGCAATGAAAAGGACTCAGTGTGAGTGGTTACCGGGCCACGTGGAGCTCCCTGGACAGTCAGGGAAGGAGGTGGTGGACTTCATGAAACCCTATGGTCATGACAGGGGCAATTGGAGACTGTACCTCAGTGTACAGTGGCTCTGACTGGGAGGCAAGGCTGGTGTGGGGCAGCAGGGGGCAGCAGCCTTCAGCCTCTCACTGAAGGGAAATATTTTCTTCGCTGTGTCCTGGGAACACTGCTAAGGTGCAGAAGTAGTTGATGACCAAGAAGGAAGCAGAACCTCTAAATCGAGGTGCCCTTGGAGAGACCTTCAGAGTAAACGTATCCGTCTTTGGGGAAAGAGACCTCGTGCTGGGAAGGGTGGAGGGGGGCAAGCTGAAAAGGTGGATTGACACAGTGACTGTAACAGTGGGCTCAGGAGTATCAGAGATGATGACAGTGGCACAGGATAGTGCAGGGTTCCGGTCCATTGTTCACAACTGTGAGTTGTGGTTAACTTGACCACACCTAACAACACCTTGCCATGTGGATGAATGGAAGGCATGAACCTTGGGAACGTTCTCACCTGAGCTCTGATTTTAACTTGAAGCCCAAAGTCACCTGGCCCAACCACTTTGCCAGTTCTTTACGACCTTTAACCACAGCTTCCAAACCCAGTTTTCCTCTTCTTCCTTGCATGCACATGGAAAGTAAAGTATGAAAGAACCAGAACCCTCACTCATGTGCACTGTTGGGATGATGTCTATGATGTGGAAAGGTGATGAGGATGTCTATGATGTGCAAACGCATCTGAATGCAGCACCTTGGAGAGACCCTCAGCCATCCAGACGTTGGGCTTTGGACCCTCCCTTGGCAGTGTCTTCCACTGCTGGCAGTGTCAGCCTGTATTTAAAAATGTGTGTCTGCTCACATTTATTCTGGAAGAAATCTCAAAAGCCCTATTGATTGAAGAAGGAATCTCAAATCATACATTCATTTCTTCTAAAGCATTTTTCAGTCAAGCATGAATCCATATCTTAGAACAAAGGCTGAAACAGCTGGAAGCTATCTCCCACCTCTAATAAATGAGAGGAGGCTGTTGGACTTTTCATCTGCAGGAAATGATGAGAACGGCATTATTAGAGTAGATTGATTTGCTCTTACTCCCTCCTGGGTTATTTCGTATTTATGGTCAAAGATCCCTTATGTCTAGGGCAGGGGCTATTTAGATGATGCCCTGCTTTTCAATCAAAAAGGAAATTATCTTTAAAAGAGAATCAGCATTAACTATTTATCAGGGAAAGAGTTATTCTGAAAGTCTGAACACTGCAATATCAAGATCTTGCTCAGGATCCCAAAGTACATCAGCGCTATGTAATTTGAATTCAACTGACTTTTTATTAAAATTTTGTCTCAAAGACGGGAAAGGTTACTAAACTTATGAAGTCTAAGGCAAAACATTTCACTTTCATTTCTGGTACTACTGTTAAAATATGCCCGTGGGATGGGTCACTACCCAGACCTATCATGCCCATGGGGTAGAACATGTCCTGCCAGTGAAATGGGGTGGCCCAGTTGGACCTTGAAAATGAGACTGCCAACAGCTGAGAGAACAGAGCTGCCATCCAGAGGCCATGGGAGGCAGGGCTGAAGCCTAGGCAGAGAGGTCTCCACCCTGAATCCAGAGCTTGGCCAATTCCCAAGTCTGGAGGACAGAACCACTGACCACATAGCCTCGGGGGGTGGGGGAGAATAGACTTGAGGGCTAATGTGAATCATTCTGCTGGCTTTGGGACTTGCTTAACACCTTCTTTTCCGTTTCTCCCATCTGTAATACCATTTGTATGCCTTGTACTGATTCTACTATTGTATTTTTGGAGGCATATAATCTATACACTACATTTCACAGGTTCTCAGATAAAAAGGAGTTTTTCCCCAGAATGGACTATGACTAACATCTCAGACTTACTTAATTTAGACGGTTTCAGAAGATGAGAGTTTTGACTTGGAGTTGGGTAAAGACTTTTGAGACCGTGTGGTGTTTTGCATGTGGCAAGAGCATGGAATTTGAAGGCCAAAGAATGGTATGCTATGGACTGAATTGTGTTCTCTCCAAAATAATGTTTGGTAAATCCAAATATCTACAACTGTGTTTATAATCTCATACAGAATAAGGTCCTCTTTGTTGTTAAGAAGGCAGAATTAGTGTAGGGTGACTTTTGAGTCAATTTCCTTTGAGCTATGAGAGATTAAGTGAGAACTGGAAAGCAGAGTTGGGGAAAGAGAGAGCCCAAATCATGTGTCCAGGATGGAAGCTCAGAAGAGTCAGAGCCAGCAGGATGGAGGAAGAGCCCCCCTGGAGAGGGATGGTTGGAAGAAATGTGAGCTTCTAACCTCCTAAGCTGAGAAAATAAATCTCTGCTTGTTGAAATCATTGCCTGTGTTAAATATTACACATTTTAGGGTAGTGTTGGAGGACCACCACCCCAAACTGACAGCCCCACCAAGAAGAGTGACAGAGTGAAAAACCCACGTGTCACAAAAGCAAGGAGTTTGTTTAAAAAGAAAGTAATTCTGGGCAGAGTGGTTATCATGTTCCCACCCAAAAATTCCATTTCACTGTAGACCACCCCCTGGCTTTCCTAGTCATTGACCTTCACACTTGAAGGATTAACTTCCTCTTGGCAATCATCTTACTAATAAGGAGGAAAGTGTGTAAGCAGGCTACTTCATGCCTTTATCTCTTCCCCTGTTTTAACCAGTTTCTGAGATGTCCATCCCTAACAGACTATTTCTCTGAGGAGCCAGTGTGGTCTTGTCTGTGAACAATCTCCTGTGTCCGTTGGAACTTGAGTACCTGTATCCATAAGCAAAGTCTAGTCCAGAGTGAACTCTCAGGTTGCAGCCGTTTACATTAACTCCCATCAGCCAACATCTTCTCCTTGTTTGGTCCTGTTCTCTTCATTTTGGTCCCATCCTTTAGCACCAGTCAGATTCAGGAGCCCACACATTTCAACATGACTAGTTCCTTTATGCCCCTTCAGTTGCAGCAACAAAAGTAACTATCTGAGCTATGCTTCCCAGGGCCCCTAGCCTCTTATTCTTCTCCATGATTATAGTGGCAAAGTGGTAAGAAGCTTCACTGCAATCCCAAAGGCCTACGGTTTGAATCTACCAGATGTTCTGCGGGAGGATGAGCATTCTGTCATGTGATTTACTGCCTCTGAAAACCTGCTGGAGGGTCAGCTGTGGGTCACTTCAGACTCAACAATAGCAACAACAAGGCGGGGAAGCAGGTTACAGTAGATGTTAGGAACTGTCAGGCTTCTCACGTGTGCCCACAGGACCTCTGCTCTTTCCTCTTGAGGCTTTGAACCAAAGTCCACAACTCTCAGTTCTTCTGATTATGTCATCTGCACAGCTCTGCAGTAAGCCTTAGCTTTGGTGAAGGATGCGGAGGCAGTTCTAGGTCAGCCCTGTCTCGCATGAGGCTCTTATCATTTCTGCTGTTGCTGCCACTGGCGTTGGTCCCAGATTATCTCAAACAGGCACTTCTGCTCCAAATGCATAGCTACACTCTTCGCTTCTCCTTTCTGGATGGCAGTGAGATTCTCAGTTTCTGCCTCTAAATCTGCTCAATTAAAATCTGGCAGGATGGCAAGACTGACCAAGCCTCTCATTAATATGAATCAAGTGTGCATGACAGCTCTCAATACAGAGATTTCTAGAATA